GACCAGTGGCCATGATCTTAGGGTTTTTTTTATGTTGAGCTTCAGACCATTTTTTGTGCTCTCCTCTTTCACCCTCATTAAGAGGTTCTTTAATTCCTCCTCGATTTCTGCCATCAGAGTGGTATCATCTGCATATCTTCCAGCAATCTTAATTCTAGCTTGGGATTCATTTAGTCCGGCCTTCCGCATGATGTATTCTGTATATAAGTTAAATAAGCAGGCAGACAATGTACAGCCTTGTTGTACTCCGGTCCCAATTTTGAACCAATCAGTTGTTTCATATCCAGTTCTAACTGTTGCTTCCTGTCCCACATATAGGTTTCTCAGGAGATAGATAAGGTGGTCAGACACTCCCGTTTCTTTAAGAACTTGCCAGAGTTTGCTGTGGTCCACACAGTCAAAGGCTTTTGCATTGGCAATGAAGCAGAAGTAGATGTTTTTCTGGAACTCTCTGGCTTTCTCCATAGTCCAGTACATGTCAGCAATTTGGTCTCTAACAAAGACGTACATAAGCTAAATTTTACTTGAAGTGGGATAAATTACTGAAAAGATACATTTACTGTATGATTGGAGGCTATGAGGTTCCTAACGTCCAGGTCACAATTTCAGGGCCTAATGCAGTGGATTTTCACTTCAGGAAATGATAGGCAAATTTTGCTAGGAGGAGGAGGAGGGAGAAAGAGAGAGACAGGAGGGAGAATTTGAAGATTTGGGGAAGAAAAGTTTTCCAAATGTTCTGTTGCTAGGTAACCTTGACAATATGGTGAGGGTGTTCCTTGTTTGGGGTTGCATAGACAAAAGGCACAGCAACTGGGAAGGCTGACTTTAATGTATACATATTCATTCAAGCTACATGCATCTTGTCTATAGCCACCACATAACTGGAATGGAAAACATCCTCCCAGAAATCTGGGGGTTCAACATCTTCCCATACTGTCTATGATCTTCTCCCTTCCTTCTGTCTCTTCTGCTGAAAATGTTTCTCATTTTTACTCAGACTCATCCCGGCAGATGTCACTGAATGAGTTTGGAAAGACAGGAGTGTAGCTTTGAGAAGGAGATTAAGAGGAACCCATTCTCTACGTGGACTTTGCAGATACCTGGCTGCTATCCTTTTCCTTGATTACCAAGGAAAGTTGCATGAAATGGCTGCCTTCAGAACACAAACAGAAGTAAAACTATTTCTCTTTGTACATACAGACATGCACAGAATAAAACACAAAAGAAGGCCATACTAGTAGGAAATGGACTTCCAGAAACTGCTTTAAGGCAGTGGGCAGGACAGTGGTAGGCCACCATTTCTAAGGCTGTATTCCCTTTGGCTCTATCTGCCAGAGAATAAATGTCAATAGTACACCCTACAGTGGTGTCCAACCTTGGCCCTCCAGATGTTCTTGGACTCCAACTCCCAGAAATCCTGGCCAGCAGAGGTGGTGATGAAGGCTTCTGGGAGCTGTAGTCTAAGACCATCTGGAGGGCCAAGGTTGGACACCACTGCAGGACCTAACAAAAGCAGTGAAGGGGCCAGAGCCATAGTAAGTGAGCTCACCTTCCATCCCCCCTCCCCTCTGTTTACACCACTTTCCCACTCAATGGTTTTAAAGAGGCACTGTTTTACAAACAAAATCACTACTTTAAGTGCAACCCTTGTTGATCAATAGCAATATTTACAGGGAAGCTTGTTTACTGTTTAGCATCACTAGCATGTCCAGTGTGGACCTCTTTCTTTCCACTATTTTTTAAAATCATGTCTGGTTAGATAAGGCCTATTCAATAAAAGATATGCCTCCTGAAATTCTGTTGACCTCTTGATAAGAAAACCTAATTGACAATTGTTCTTTCTCATTCCTGAGGTTAAAAAGAATCCCTGAGATATGTCTGCAGAATCTATCTTTTTAGTAAATTCCCTGAGGTTGAGTTGGCGAAAATGAGTTACCTCATGGAGGTGATACACTCAGTAATCTGCCTGTCTCCTGTTAAATGGCTGAGCGGAATAAGAATAATGTCAGCACCGCCAGGAGCTCACTTGCTTCTTCTGACAGAAGGCAAGAATACAGCAGTACCAGGGGATAGAGAGCAGCTGTATCCCAGGCACAGAGTCATTTGCTGATGAAATATACCAATTCCTCCTCTTAACTTGAAGCAAATTAAGCAAAGACTTGCTCGACAACAAGCAATGTACTGAAGCACAAACAAGTACAATGGGTTCAGTGGATCGGACTGTGCTGAACTGAACTGGTTTTGCAGTTGTACTGATCACCACGCCTCTCATCCTGAAAAAGGGAACTTGTAGAAAAACAAGGCAGCCCAGATGTGTGTGATGATGTTGTAAGATTAGTTTCGCAGTGCACAACAGAATCAGCAGTTCAGGTTTGGATGGCGGGGGGAAAGGAGCTGTTGGGTACTTCTCCAAGTAGCTCCAAGCCTCACTCTTCCTCACTTCGGGGACAGTAGTCTTACATAGGATTTCTGATAGGATCTCTGTGAAAGGGACAATGTGAATACCTTCCCCCTTAACATCTCTCTCACTCCCTCACTCTGTGCGTGCATACACGCATGCGTGTATGTGCAGATGCTCTTCACATTTGCAGTGTCTGGGTCTCCCCACACAATTCAGAAGCACACACAGAGGCTGAAATATTAGCCTATCCCCACAGTAGCTACTACTCCGCATAATACAGATCCTTATATTCCATAGCCACTGGAAAGCCCTACTTTGTGTCATCATGCACCACCCAGACATTTTCAAGTCTATTTCTGCATCAGAGAGCCTAGCGAGTAGTTTCAAACAAAACAAAAACAACACTTCTGTGTTTCAGTGTCAGTGTTTGTTAGTTAGATGGTTCTCCTTGGTAGATGAAATGTCTCATATGCCTCTAATGGCTAACTTTGAACTACCAATAATCTCCATGGAATTGAGGGAGTGATTACCCCCATACACACCAATACAGAATTAATAGTTGGTTTATGTGATTGGTTGGGTGATTCCTTAAGGTGTGGTGACAAAGCATGCCTTCAACTTTGCATGGTACATTCAACAGCACTAAAGAAGTGTGAATGCAGTCAATTTTAGAGAGCTTTTTGTCAAAACTTGCTAGATATTAAAGGCAAGAAAACATTCAGGTCACTGGAGAGAAGCTCATGCGTCAAGTGAGTGGAACTCTAGGACTTTCCACCTTCATTAATTATGTAGAATATGTCAAATTAAACGATGCTGTTTGATTTCTTGTTTGTTTTAGGTATTTCCATCTCACTCTGTTTGACAGATTTCAGTGTAAAATATAGTCACTCTTAAGGACTATGCTATGCCGTAATAAAAAACCATGATACTTTTGACTTATTCCTCGTGGTGAAGTGGTTAAACTGTACTGTAGCCAAAACTGTGCTCATGGCCTGGGGTTCAATCCCAGGTAGCCGGCTCAAGGTTGACTCAGCCTTTCAGCCTTCCAAGGTTGGTAAAATGAACACCCATTTGCTTGGGATGTGTGTGTGTGTGTGTGTGTGTGTGTGTGTGTGTGTATGCGTGTGCGTGCACAATATGTAGCCTGCATATCCAGAGAGTGCTTTAAGCACTATGGGACACTATATGCAGCATGCTTTGCTTTTGCTTTTATTCCATGCTCTCCTCTTCCAGGACTCAAATAAGATATGACATTCATATGGGAGACATTTGAGTCATGTAAATCACTTAGTTTACATTATATTCCTTATGTTGGGCTACCTAATTGCATCTTCCCTTTGCCACAAATGAAAACATGGATGCTGCTCATTTGTCATGAGATAGATAACCTGGAAATCTGTGTATTAAGAGAAGTATTTGGTAGGAAGCATAGCAGATCTATGGTCAAACATTTAGGAATCTCACTCTTTAATGGGCTTGAGTTTCAACTGCATGATAACTGAATTTCCAGTTTGGTCGAGGCCTTCCTGTACATACTGTTTAATACAATGCTTAATCCAGTTTGTCTGTCTGTCTTAATGGAATTAGGACATCTGTATAGCCAGATAATTTTCTATTCACTCTTGTTTAATTGGGGTGGTTGTTCAGTTGACCATTGTAAGTTGAACAGATACACATTACATTAATGGAATCATTCCCTCCCCTTTTGCTTGAGTTTTAAGGGTATTTTGCTTTTCTAGGGATATTTAAAAAAATTAATTGCAACCTGAATTTTCGCAGATCTGTTATCCCCACCTGTCCCTTCCTCTCAAACAAACATGGATCCAATGGAAGCAGGTGCAAGTAGAACTCCCCCAGACATGAGCTGTTCATCTGAGTATGGTGCAAAGTTGCTTCTGCCTGACTATGTGAAGGGGGGGTGACAAAATGGGTTTTTTATCCTCAGCACAGCAGCCCCTCACTCTCTGCACCATGACTGGCAAGATCAATATGACACATTGCCTTCTCATTTAAAGGTAAAGTATGTTTGAGAGAGATAGTGGCTGCAAACTCTACTTCAAACCCTGTTCTTCATGCTAGGAAGCAAGAAAACACCCACCTTCACAAAACTGAAAATTCCACTACTAAACAAGCCAGCATCAAGGAAGGGAAACAGACAAGGGGTGGAGACAAGGTAGACGGATTCCAAACTGACTACATTGTGGAATCTTGGGGTGAATAAATCTGGATCAATGCAGGAAAAAGACCATAATTCCAACACAAATCTATTCAAAGCTACAGCTTGTTTGGATGTGCCTTACAATCTCCCCCAATTCCCTGTCTAAATCCCTCCTCCCAATTTTATGCCTTCAACTGACATATCTAAAAAAATGACATTTTTAAAGTGCTTTAAAGCAGCATCGGTATTATTTAAGAGACTGATTGTTGTATGTCAAAGTCAAACCAACACAATTCTTCCCTGGCATGTCAATCTAAATTAGCAATGAACTGAACTTGAAGAATATGAGGGTTTCTGAGGGTTTTTTACTTTATTTTTAACATGGGGTAGAAGAGTAGGATTCTTTTTAGTGTGATCTAAGTAATACTGAAGCAGGAATACCTTCTCATGACCAGCCTTGGTGATTCTTGGGATATCAAACAGCTGTCCTGTGTAATATTGCACGCCACTGAACAGAATTACAGCAACAGAGTCCCCTTCCTTTTCAATTATCGCAAGGATATCTTCCATTCTCAAGGTTTCTTCCCCCTGAAATAAAGTTAAGCACATACTTTAGATCAACCCTGACAGTAACAAAACTGTCAGTTCTTGTTTCATAATCTATTTTTTTTATGACATGCCTTGCTGAATGCAGTAAGGGATCAAAAGCAAATCCTTAACATGGCAGTAATCTACGAAAGTAAAAGCTCTGGAATAACCTTTGAATCAGTGAATAATCATTAGTAACATAGCTTCAAGGTGGTAATTTAAAAAAAAAAAATAAAAGGTTGTTCACTTTGCTTCATTATATGCTTTTCTTGCCTGAATGCTTCCAGGCTGCCTTAACTGGTTGGGTTTTTAAAATAATCCAGTACATGGAGATAGAAAAACCTAGCACTGTAGTAAATCTTTCTAGGAAATTGGTGGTCGACATTGTTACTAATGATATATCACTGGTAGAATGTTCAAGCAGTTCATCTAAGAGTAGACATATCAGATTGAGAATGGAAATTTTGTTTATGCATACCCTTGGTGTGCTATATATTTATCTTTGACTCTTATTCATTCATTCACAGATTATTACTTGTCTAACTCAGTGTAGCAATGGACACTAGCTTTGATAGTTTTAAAAATTCATGGTCTATCAAAGTCTATCAGTGGTTATTACTTAGGGTAAATATATGGAATCTCAGATCCATTTAGAACTATTGCCTAGCAGCCATCACATTGATACTGTGAGAAATGACACTCCTCACTTTGGACATTCACACATTTGTGAGGCTTACAAGCAGGTTTCAGAAGAACAAGGTGGGCACAAAACTATAGGCTCATTTTCAGACATGAATGCTTAAAATGTGTGCAATTGAAAGATTATGTAGAAACATGCTTCATCCAATGCGACAAAACGTATAAAGTGTGTGAAGTGTGTAAATGGATACATCAGATAAAATGTATATAGAAATGTAGAAGTTAGTAAAAATGCACAAACATTTGTATACATTTCAGATCATGAATCAAAAAGAAATATTGCAATTTGAGGCAAGACAAGGACAGGGGAAAGAAATGCAATTATGTTGAGATTGACAGATTTTAACATCTTTCTTTGGATCTCAGTGGAGACAACTAATGTAGGGCACTGCAGGAAACAGATTCTGATAAAGAGGAACTTTTAGTCTGATTAACAAGAGTTCTTCTTGGATTGATCTGTGTGTTTAGTCTGAAGGGTCTTCTGTGTTATGAGGTGTTATGAAATATTGTTGATCGCTTGCGTTGGCTGATGAGGAAGTCTACTGTTAAAATGGGAACCTCTGCCTTAGACAACCAACCTAGCTACTATACCTCAATTTCTTGTCCCCAATCTGCAAAATGGTATTTTATTATTTATTTAATTAATTAATTTATATCCCACCCATCTAGACCGAAGTCTACTCTGGGTGGATAACAACATACAAGAATAATAAAATAAAATCAACAACAATATTTAAACCATAGGATAACAATAAATTAAGTATTGACAGGAGGGAAGGCCTGCCTAAAGAGCCAGGTCTTGAGTTGGCAGTTAAAAACACTCAGTGAGGGAGCCAGACAAATTTCAGGGGGCGGAGATTGTTCCAGAGGTGAGGGGCCACTGCCGAGAAGGCGCACTTTCTTGTTCTTTCTCTTTGGGCCTCCCTCAGCGTTAGGCCCCTCAGCCGCCCATCCTGGCTAGAACAAGTGAGTCGGGTAGATCTAGGTGGGAAGAGGTATTCCGCCAGATACTGAGGTCCTAAACCATTTAGGGCTTTATATGTCATAATTAGTACTTTGAAATCAATGCAGGAATGAACGGGCAGCCAATGCAGGGCAGCCAGAGTAGGGGAGATATGTTGGTGTTTTCTCACCCCAGTCATCCCCCAAAAAGAGACGGAGTTCCCCAAACCACTGACATCAGGGCCACCCACCCTCAGGATTTGCATTTTATCTGGGTTCAGCCTCAGACCATTCACCTGCATCCATCCCAGTACGGCCTCCAGACAGCGCTGAAGGGACGAAATGGCATCCACTGTTGTTGGAGAAAAGGAGTTGTAGAGCTGGGTGTCATCAGTGTACTGATGAAACGAAGCCCCACACCCCCTGATGACCTGACCCAGCGTCCTCATAGAGATATTAAACAGGATTGGGGAGATAATCGAGCCCTGCAGGGCCCCACAATTAAGATTCCATGGAGTAATACACTCTCTCCAAGCTGTGCTCTCTGGGGACAGTCCTCCAAGAAGAATTGGAGCCAGGCTAGCACCAGACCACCTATTCCCAGCTCAGAGAGCCTCCCCAGGAGGATACCGTGGTCAATGGTATTGAAGGCAACTGAGATATCGAGAAGGACCAACAGAGACATTTTGCCCCTGTACGTCTCCCTCAGCAGGTCATCAGTGTGACCAGTGCTGTTTCCATACCGTGGCACGGCCTGAAGCCTGACTGAAATGGATCCAGGGTGTTGGTTACATCCAAAAGGGCCTGGAGCTGGTCAGCCACCACCCTCTCCACCACTTTGCTGAGGAAAGAAACATTGGTGATGGGCCTATAATTGCCAATGTCATCTGCCGCCAAACTTGGTTTCTTCCTAATGGGACTAATGAGTGTCTCCTTGAGGAGAGACCCATTAATTATTACAGTGGCCCATTTGGTTGTTATAGGCCTGAGTGCTTTGATAAGCCAGGCCAGACAAGGGTCAAGGGAGGAGGTGGTGGCATGACAGCGGTCAAGTGCTTTGTCCACCATATTTGGCATCACAGGCATCAAGTCTCATCAGGCAAGGCGGAGCACTGGATGTCTCTGCTCTATCTACTGTGTTCAAAAAAGGAGATAGCTCCCAGCGGATGGCCTCTACTTTAGCTTTAAAAATGCTGCAAATTGGTCAGGTGAAATACTAGTAGGAGGTCTATGACTTAGACCAATTCCAGATAGAGCGTGGGCTGTACGAAAAAGATTTGAAGGTTCACTTATCCGGACAGCAAAGTAAGCTCAACTGGCAGCCCAATGTAAAGGTTAGTTGGGATCATGACAGCTTTATGATTATAATCTATCAGGTTTCATCTCCACTTGCACTCTACCCTTCTCCTACTTTGTTTCATTACTCACAGCTGCTGGTTAAACCAGGGTGCTGAACAAGCTCTGCAATGGAGAGGGCATTTAGGAGCGATCATATCAACAGCCCTGGTAGCGGTGGCAAGCCAGCCATCAACCAGAGCCTCGAGAGGAGTGCCAGTCAGTTCACCTGGAGTCCTGGAATCTTATAGGATCCAATAACCTTTGAGGGTGGACCATTAGAAGAGGTCCTTGCTCCCTGCGGAGAGAGAGAGCCACTGAGAGGTTACATTTAATTAGGTAGTGATCTGACCATGACAAGGGGACCAACACAGGGTTGGTCACCATCAGACCACACTCACTTTGCTCGGGGGAGAACACCAGGTCGAATGTGTTACCGCCCATGTGGGTGGGGCCATTGACATGTTGGGACATGTCCAAGGAAGCCATGGTTTCCAAGAACACAAGAGTCGGATTGGAAACCTCCGCATCCGCATGGATGTTGAAATCACCCAAGACCAAAAGCCTCGGAGATTACAACAATGCTGCAGAGACAAGGATAAGGAAATGGCTGGGTCACAGGGAGCGCAGTAACCCAGCAAGATCACAATACCATCCAATTGACATGTGTAGGGCATCAAGACCTGGTGTTACCACCGCAGAGCACCTAACGAACTCTACAGTATTTTTAAAGACAGTATTTTTAAAGACTCCCCCCCGCCCCTTCAGTGTACCCTGGTGTTGGACTGCATAACCTGGAGGGCAGGCAAGAGTCAAAGGAACACCCCCTTCCCCACCCATCCAAGTCTCAGTTATGCATACCAGGTCTGCATCCTCTTCCAGGATAAGGTCTTGGATAATCTGGGATTTGTTGGATACAGACCTGGCATTCAACAACACCAGATTTGAGGGATGGCTGGTTGGACTACCTCGAGTCTGACAGTTGGTCACAGTGCCAGAACAGTGAACGGCCTTGAAACATCTGTTAATTGTTTTTCTGCAATGAGTAGGAACTGTGCCAATGCCATATCTCCCTCTACCCATAATCACTCTGATGTTCAGAGGATCCCCGTTTGGGGGGGGCAGGCCCTCCAATCCATGTCAAACAAAAAGAAGGGGGAAAGGAAAAAACCAGAAAGATTACAAATTAATAAATAAAAAATACAATAATAATCAAATTATCAAAATTAATTAAACCATAACATAAAAATAGAAATTTAATCTTAAATTAATCAATATCTAATTTAGACAATTAAAAATTTAAAATATAGAAGAAAAAATAAAAATAGAATAAAAGACATTCCACACTCAGGCTGCCCCCCCCCCGGTCATACTCAGTAGCAAATCTGAGTCCTCCCAACAAGCTCACTGTCAAAAATGATTTAGTCACCATAGGCAACAGGGTTGGTAATATGGCCAGCCCTTTCTAGGCAGCAAGCCTAATCCCGCCAGGGAAGGTGATAAAGTCACAAAGGCAGCGGGAGACAAAAGGCACCAGGCACCAAAAGTCTGAATCACCAAACAAGAGGGAGGCAATGGGGGGGGGGATATCAGCAGATTCAATGTGCCGAACGAAGTGCCAAAGCTCAGCCGTCTGGACACCAACTCACCAGCCACGTTTCTCAGGACCAGCACAGCACCGACGCTGACGGGTCCTCACCGAAAACACCGTGCCAGTTGTCAAAGCAACATCCCCACATTGGAGTTGGGGTTAATATTACTACTCTACCCTACAAGGTCACTCAAAGAATTTCTGAGAACTCGTCAGAACCACCACAAACATTCAAAGGGTGCAACAGAAATGTGAAGTGTCTTTTTGCAAGCATGAAAATAAATAATTCTGTTAGTAACTCCTGAAGTCAAAATGAGAAATTCATTGAAAGGTTAACATTGTTTCACCCATGAGATACAGAACTGGTGCAGTGGATAGTTTGAAAGACAAGTGACCTCAGTCCTGTGAATCTCACAACTTTCCGCCCTATGGAGATTTTAGTGTTCCTCTCTCAGCAGTTCCAGTCTTGGTAAAAATACAACAACATAAAAACTGCCATGCTGGGCCAGGCTCATATGCATGACATTTTGAGTTAGTGACATACATACATCCCTAAAACTAAAGCTGCTTTCTAGTTCCTGCTTGATACATCTTAGACAAACTCCATCTCCCACAGAAAGCTATTAAATTTTTCACTGTATTTGTATTTCAGAAACAATAGGATCCATATAACCCCAAAACTGTGCAAACCCTGAAGTCATTAAATATAGAAAATTTCAACAAGAAAAAAAACACCTTTGATCCTTTAAAGCCTCTCTCTCTCCTCCTTCTGAATTTCCTCTTAGCACGGGATCGTATAAAACATACCACCACCAAGGGATCAATTAAGCAGAGAAAACTCCAAACGAAATTACATGTGACTGCAAAGACCTGGGATAAGATTGGTGTTTGGAAAGGAACTCCGATTATCTTAATTATCTTTGAACATCTATGAAGGTCCTGGGAGAAGTTTCTCACTTCTCTGGAAAACATTTTTCTCTCCAAATTGAAAGGTCATCATCGGTTCTACAAAAAAGTAACACATGTTCTTAGTGTCAGGAAATGAGGCGATGTTATGTGTTATAATGATCTAAAGTGTACAGTCTTTCAAATGAAAACTTCGTAGTAAACACAAAACTATGATCTCTTTATGTAACTTGTTAAAGGAATGGGATTCTACTTATGTTACTTCTTGATTAACTGCCAGCAAACTGCTACAGAGAACAGTACCAATTAAGATGGAAACAATTATAATCGAAATTAACAGGTTAACATATAATTAAAGCAGTTCAAGAAAGAAAAATAATAAGAACCAACTCTTTCAAACCAACTGGAGTTCCTCTGTGTTGGAAGTAACACGTTAACAATCATCCTGAACTGATGGCAGACAAATAAACAAATAGATGGCCTCAGGCATCTTAGCCTACTCCTCATGTCTAAGTAACATTATACTAATATGCACCATGCTGTATTCAGATTTAATCTCTTTCTTCTCACATCCTCCTTCTTTGGCATACATGTCCAAAGATTAATTGCTTTACATGTATGGAAAGCAATGACGTAGCATGATGATGAGTCTGTCCATGAATGTAACACCTGAAGAGAGCTACAGAAGTGAGCTTTAGGGACTCCTCTAATCAGGTTCAGGCTTCTTTCCATGCAGTATCCCAAATGAATTTCCTAAAACTTCTCATTCTTAATTATTATTTTCCAGAGTATCCAGTCCGGTTTAATAACTTAAAAAAAAATTAGATATCCCATTAAAAAAATTATTATATAAGTTACAATCCTCTGATCACATAACAAAAAAGAAAAAAAGTAGTAATTACCTATAAATACAGTTACATTTATTATTATTCTTAATTATTATTTTCCAGAGTAGTCACTCCTGTTTAATGGCTGTGCATTCAGAAATCCCATGCTGCATTCTTCTGGCATAATTATGAAATATCCGTATACTATTACAAAATGTGCAGCTGATTATACTTTTTCTTCCTCACCTGGGAAGGTCAAGGGAGGAGTGGAGCTGACTCAGTCATTGACTCAAGACACACTCCTTGAGGCTGTGACACAGTCATTCTTCCTCTCACACCCTCCAGAATAGGGAGGCATTCCCACAAAGCCTGAACAAGCTAGATGATTGGCCCATCCTTTGGACTAGGGGTTCCTCATTTTTTTTCTCTAGGCTGTGCAAAGAAGACATGGAGTCACTGTTGGGAAATCCTACGTCATGTAACACTGTCTCCCTTCAATTACATCTTTCACTTCCTATTTTGAGCAGACCAGGGATGGTTGGAATCTTTCCTGAGGACATGCCCTCAGTGTGCTTGTTTTATGAGATGAATATCAACTAGGAAGACAGATTTAGGAGATGCAATAAAAGGGTGTCCCCTCTTTAAATTTCACTTTACATTTCTTGCAACAAAAGTCTTGTGACACCTTAAAGATGAACAAACTTTATTTTGCACAAGGTTTTGTGGATCATAGTTTCCGTTTTCAGTTCATGGAAGATTATGTCTAATAAAATGTCTTAATTTTCAAGATGTCACGAGACTCTTTGCTTTTGCTACAATATATGACAGTTTCACACGACTACCCCCCCTTTAAATTGTTTTATTTTCATCTCAGCCATTTAGACCAGCTTCCTTAGAATAATCTGCAATGAAGGAAATGCAATGATGCAAATATCTGTTTTTCAGAAGGTATTTATATAAGCGATATTTTACAAACCTCACGCGGCTGTATCATAAGCATGCTCTTCTCAGTACTGAGCCCATGAAACTGGAGTTGAGACTCAACAGCATACTGTAAACAAAAGATTGAACATTTCAAGTGAGGAGATGGAGGAGACCACAAAAACATTTATATCAAATACTTAGCATTGTGAGGAGTGGTGCTTATGTCCCCATACCAATGTGGAGATAGGGGAAAGGATATGTTTCCAGTTTCACAAATGTTTCAGCAAAATGTTTTCAATTTCCCCCTCTGTCTATTAAAAAAAATAGGAAAAAGAGTTGAAAGCCTAGAGAGTTCTTCTAGGTTTGTAGCACACAGGGTTCTTTTAGGTTCCATGCTCAGCAACTCCAGGTTTTAAAAAAAGGATTATATGGCAGGCAATGTCCAAGGCCTCTTCCTAAATGTTCAAAGAGGAGATGCTGCTCCAGTAGATGATAGTGGGCTAGAGGGACAAAGAATCTCAGCAAACAAGGCAGGGGTGAGTTTGAGGGGCAAATTTTTATTCCATGGGCCACAAGGAGCCTCTCCAAATATCCATTTTTGGCATTTTTTAAAAAGGTAAACTACGTGTGCTTGGTTGGTTGGTTGGTTGGTTGGTTGGTTGGTTGGTTGGTTAATTTATTTATTTATTTATTTATTTTTGGTTGGTTGGTTGGTTGGTTGGTTGGTTGGTTGGTTGGTTGGTTGGTTGGTTGGTTGGTTGGTTGGTTTATTTATTTATTTATTTATTTATTTATTTACTTATTTATCTATTTATTTAGCACCTGGTGGGTGGTGTTCCCACACCAATTTGTACACCATTCAGTGGGAAACAACTCTGGCACCTTCAGAAAAGTAGAGAGTCATATTCAGAGAGGACTCGCTGTGGATGGCTAATTCAACCAGCTCAGTTGCACGCCCTTAGTCTGGACTCAACTTTTTTTTTAGGTGACCAAGGACATAAACCTGGCCTACTTAATGGAGTTATGTACTGTACATCTAGTCCAACTTGAGGTGATATGTGTTTGGCAGCCTTATATAATTAATAATCCAAGAGGAATGCTGGTAGCAAGTCTTCTGCATATTAGTCTTCTGGGCTATCTCTCTCTCCTTTCTCTAGATTGGGAATCATTATAGTATAGATCTGCAAAATCAGGATGCACCATTTTATGTGAGCAAAAATATTTTCCATTGACAGCAAGGCATCCTTGTCTACACGTTGTAACTAATCAAACTCTGATATTCCCAGCTGGAAGGCCAAGAAAGCGGTGACTAGCCTTGAGAATCAAATTCAGAGCCAGTGCTCTGACACACTCTAAATTTTGGGCTTTGCTCTGTTGCCTTTAAACTGAGAGCTGCAGAACTGTTCTGACAATATTTGATTCACATAATGGAAGGGATATAGGCATGCTGCCAACTCCCTTTTAAAGTCCGGGTGATGTATGCTCCAGCATGTGAGAAGGGGAATACTTGTCCACAAAAAGATACAGGAGAGGAAATTGACCTATCTCAAGGCAGAAAACAAGTCAATTTTACTGCAGCTAAAGCTATAGCTGAAGTCTCTTGGAAAATGTGGAAGTGTAAAAACGACAAATGCTTTTGACAAGAAACTTCCTGTGACTGACACAACCAAGTAGATTGGCAAATCAAAGGGTCTTTCCAGCTCACTGCCATGTGGGGGAGGGTTTGCCCGCTATATGAATGAGATCTACATAATCTATCCTTCCCTCATGTTTGCATCATTCTCATACAGACCCTAGCCATGACAGATCTGAGACTGCCAGATGGGAAGGGCATCTCACTGAAGGTGGACCATGATCTCAGGGAGTATTGCTTCACTTTGCCCCTGACACTCCTCCCTCAGAACAAAGGATGCCAAGGGATTCAATTTGTTCCGGCAGTTCTATGGCTTTCCTCTTTACAGACTGAGCACAGTGCTGCAATGTGGTATTAGGTTGTGGTGCATGGTGCTTGCATCACACATCACAACCACTCATGATGTTCATGGCTGTAGTACATACCATTGTATTCCTCACAGCACCCTAAACTGAGTGAAACGCATTTTCCCTACAACATGCAACTTATTTGTATTTGTTGAGAAAATGTGAGAATATTTTCCCCAAAGAGGCATATTGGCTGATAGACATGAAGACTCTGAATTGCACCTTATGTGAGCTGCATTTGGAGGGGCTTTATAGTGCCTCAGAGATCAAATTTCTCATCAATTTCTAAGTGTTTACTGAGTTTGATAAAGTAGCAGTGAGTCACAAATCTGAAGATTAATTTGCTGCAATCCATGATGCATGGCCTATTGTTTCATTTTATACCACAAAAATGATGTTTGAATTAGTAATCTAAAGCACCATCTACAACCATTTCCCTATCTATCTAGGGATATAAAACTGTTAATGTTGTGAGCTTTGTATTGATTGGGTTTCATAAAGTAAAACAGCAACAAGAATTAATAAAACATTTACAACCTGTTGTTGATTTAGGCCAACAGCTTGCTCAGGGTCTTTAAAAGGACTAATCAATCAATGTGGCCATTCAGCCTTTCCTTCTGCAAGATTTTTATTTGGACAAAGGAATAAAGGCCTGATCAGTAAAATATGCCAAGCTCAGAAGTACATGACTAGGTTCCTTTTTCTTCTTTAATGCTTTGTTTATATATATATATAGAATCAGCAGCTAGGTAATCAGGTAATACTGATAGTATGTCTTTGAAAGGCACAGCAAATTAAAACACAAAAAAGATGCAATACTAATTACTTACATGGTCAGAGGGAAACGCTTTGGCTTCCAGGAGGATTTTATGGCGATCTGGTGTAGGCTTAAAAAATGATAACTGTAGAAATAAAATGAAGTTTTTGTTAGCCCACTGAGAATTGATAATAATTGACATTTAAGAAGTGTCATGTGAATGCCGTACAGTCTGGCAATCAACTGCTTCAGTAAGAAACAACATGCAGTTCCAGAGACCATCATATGCTTTCACATTACACAGTGTAATTGGCATCTTTCTTTTGATTATCCAAAAGTACTTGCAAGAATGAAAAGAAAGACTTTATGATCCCAAATTAATTCCAATTTTTTTACAAAAGTGACTCGCCCAGGATGTGAAACATAGGTTGTATTTCACCAAATGTGGTTACTTTACTCTCAACTC